CGAAAAGTCAGCGAGCTCGTCCGTAAGGGCGTGAAACGGCTTCTGGCAGCAGGACCTTCCGGGCAGACCCATGATACGGAGATGACAACAATGTGGATCCCGGGGACGAATGTGTCGGCTTCGTAAGCGGATTACAAACGACTTGCACACGCGTCCGAGAAACGATATTCCCGCGCGGAGAAAGATCGGTTCTTTTTTTTTTCACGCCTTTCTTAACCGGCTAGAACGGCAATGCATTGATCCGACGTTAAGATTTGTATTAAAAAGAGGAATATATGTAGGAGAAAGTAGAAATGAGAAATATCTATTATGTTTCAAACGCACGTATATGTGTGTGTGCGCGTATGTGTGTGTGTGTGTGTGTGTGTGTGTTTATATTTTAAATTCAATGCACTCGAGGAACGTATAATCATAAATTATATAGAGATATAAACTCATAATTTTTATATTTTTCATAAAAATATTGAGATTTTAATGCTCCTCTTAAATTTAAAAACTTGTCGGATGAAAAATTTCTTTCTTACGTTCTTATTTTCTCTTTTGGTCCGTAAAAAATTTAATTGATATCAAGTAGTAATACACGACTCTTATATACATCAGTTTTTAATTATCAACACAAATTCTACGGTGTAAATAAATAATAATGCGTGGAAAAAATCAATTATATATATGACTGAGAAAGCAATTAGGAGAAATTCTAATTTTATTGTAAAACATACGCGTGTATATGTATAGGGTGATTCTAAATAAATGCGAAAAATTTTAGATGATTCTTTATCGAAAATTAAGGGGGGTCTTTCATAGAAACATGAACATTTTTTACTAGTAAAAAGGATACTTATTAACATTTTTTAATCCTTCCGTATCGTTATAAGGGGATAAAACTAGCAACCCTTATTAAATTTTTTATTAGAACTTTTTAACGGGGCGGAATGTAATCATCTAAAAATATGCGTTAGAAAGCTTGATTTCTTTAGAAATTTTTTTATTTCTTTAATTTTTTTTGTAAAATCAATAGTTTTCAAGAAATAAAAAAAATACATTATTATGCACAGCATGCTGCTAAATGGCATAGGTTTTGAGATACAAGAAGTTGAATTAATGAAAAATATTAATAAGTATCTCCTTTTTACTAGTGGAAAATGTCCACCAAATTTCATTTTTTTAACTTGTCCAAAATTTGAGAAAAAAAATAAGCTAATTTTTACCTCTTCCTTTAAAAAAGTGTAACTCCTCAGGAAGGGATGTAGGAGTATATATAATATTTATATGAAAGACCCCCCTTATTTTTCGACAAAGAATCATCTCCTAAAATTTTTACACTTATTCAGAATCATACTATATATAATGATAAATATAAATTGAATTAAATATACAATATATTTTCTTATACGCATTATGTGTGTTCCGCTCTGTGATTAGAACGGCGTCGCTACATTAAATTGCCCTTATTGCGTCATACACTTCCTTGCTCATCAACGCAGTGTAATTGTCGCTAAGGACATACCCGGAGATACGATAATTAGGGGTTCGGGATCTCAGGGAGATGTAAACAGCATAACGAGCGATCAGCGGCGTATATGATCGATGCGTAAATCCGTCGACAATTACGTCTGGCTGTTAGTCCGACGTTAATAATTTTCTAATCAACGCCGTGTGAAGGATCGATGATCGTATTTGTACCGTGACATGCTGCTGCTGCTGCTGGCCACACGATGATGGCGAAATGTAATAATCTAGACGGGAAATTGGAATGAACGTTCCTCCGTAAAAAAAAAGAGGAAGAAGAAAAAAAAATCGCCTGGGCCAATCTACGTGAAAGCGTGCAATTACGTCGGCGTTACTCCTCCTAATTGTCCTTCATTAATAATTCCGCGATCTCCCCGCGGCACGGATGGCGTACCACGGAAGGTGGATACCATTTACGATTATGGTCGCGCGCGTCGGCCGCTGACTGATAACACCAATAACGAACGCGCGTTATTAGCTTAAAAGAAAAAAAAATAATAATCAAAAGAAAAACACTCCGCGTTTTAATATCGCTCGTGTGCTCGCGCTTTTTCTCGTAAAAGCGTTACCAACTTTTTACAAGATCTTCGCCTTGATGGGAATAAGGGCTCCGGTTCGTATAAGGAACTGATGGTTTGACTGCAATGTAGGCAACCTTGCGCAAATATATATCACAATAATAATTAGTTATACATAAATGACTTTTTGATGGATTTTTTTATGATTCTTACGTTGAAATGCGATATCTTGTTATTAATTTTCTTCTTATCAATATTGGTTATAAAGTAAATATCTTTTGTCGATATATATTCTTCGGTAAGTGTGATTAAATACAATGTGCTAATAATATGCTGAAACACATGGAGCTTACTCGTATATAAGAATCATTATTTGAATTATATTTTAAAAATATACACACACAATATTAATATTTTATAAAAAACATTTGGTGTTATAAACATATTTCTTATAAATGTAGAATGCTACTTTGCAAAGTGTTACTTCAAACAAATATATGAATCATGATCATAGGCTTGCTTTTGGAAGAGAATTTTATAAATAAAATGTCGAAATATATATATTTTCTTTTAATTCAATCTTCTGCAAGTTACTGTATATTTAGTCCTAGTTTAAACTTTAGAACACGGAAAAAAAAAATTTCGCTACCATAGCTAATCATGGTTTGCAAAATAAATTTCTAAACTACAGCAAAACGGTTTGCTGTTGCACTTAATAAATAGGTGTCACAGCTAAGATTTTCGCTGTCCATATATTACGACTGAAATCTAGTTACTACACGCAGTTTTTAGCTACGGCAGCTAATTTTTTTTTTCCGTGAACGAAAACACATACGATCGTGTCGATTTCAGTTCAGCATACTATATCCCTTTATCACACACGCGGCACTTTTGCCTATTTCTCGTGTCACCGTAGCTGAGGCAAGGACGACGATTATCGATTACCATGACGTGACTCTCGAGATTTTCAAACGCTACACCGTCGTTGGTCTTGTCCGTGAAACACTTAAGGGGCGGTTATAAATAGCGACGCAAGCGTTGCAAGGTGCGAGCCGTCGCGGCGAGTCAATGTCGTGGAAAAATTGGCGCCTCCGCTGACGGCCCGCTGCTGCTTGTTTTTGCAACGAAGCAGCATTTTGGATTTAGCACCGCGAGCGAGAAGCAGTATTAGTGTCGCCACTTCTAATCACATCGCCATCGTCCGCGTAATTGTTGGTAATGCGCTTCTTTGAGAAAATAAGCCGATTACGGGACAAACAGCCGTTGTAGCGAGCGGCTTCGCGTTTAGAAAACAACTATCCCTGGTGAAAAGGAGGACGGATCGGTAAAAGAAACTGTGAATTAATGGAGATTGGTTGCCGATACGCTTGGTATAGGTCACCTTAATAGCCCCTTCAAAAGAGAGAAAACGCAACGCGGTTTTCTATGATCACTGTGTGATTCGTAGCGATGTAACAATTTTTTTTTTGTTAGATCGTAAGCGTAATGAAAATCGAATAGCAGGTAACACTTTCCGGATGATTTACATTTGTATTTACGCACGTCATAAGACTAGTAATTTTCATATCCACTTCGGACAATTAATAACGTGAAAACTGCGTTACGATTAAGAATCGGTTCTATTCGTTTTATATGCGTCTCTATTATGTGTGCGTACGAATTTCTGCGTAATACGAGTGTTCTCGACATCTTACGAAATTCGGCGTCATCCGATCAAAGAAGTTAACGACGATTTAGCACTTGTTCAGCCGGAGGGATTAAACTCCGGAGGACACAGCAGCACAGGTAGAAAAGATGAATGAAACAAATGAGGGTAACATAATTAAAGCTTTCGAAAATGCCGAGCTCCAATTTAGAACCATTAGAATCCCTAAACGTTGTTGGTCGAATAGACCCAACAACTTGAAATGAGAAAGAGAGAGAGAAAGAGTAAGAAAAAGAGAAACGTTTACCTCTGTCCGCAGAGAGAGATATATCTGATTCTCGAAAGAGAGGCACTCCATACAATCACAATCAGCGACGGTCGACGTGATCTCACCGATTGTAACATCCGGTCGAAAGGAACCATGTACCCCGTAAATATCCTTGACACCTTCGTAAAAATCCACGCAAGCGATCAGATAAGTAGACAAAATCTCAAAACGCAACGAAAGAAAGCGCCGCTATGATTCATTTTACCATCTTTCAACCGAATAAAAATTTTAATTACCCAAACAATCATTTTAGAAATTGATAAAACATCGTGGAGTTTTTTTTATTTATCCATTATCTTTTACGGGTCACTAATTATGCAGTAATAAATTATATGTCCTGAGAGAGAAAAAAGAGATGGAATCTGACAAACTATCGGATGGTCATATAAAGTTAAGTTCGTGAGAAATGCGAAAAATTTAGTAAAGAATCAGGAATAAAACTGAATAGCTAATGCTTAATAAATCTTAAAGTAATTGCTTGATGTTTTAATATTTAAGTTTTGCTATATAAAGTAATACAAAAATATGCAATTTCGATCAATTAATTCGTGCACGGAAAAAAAAATTAGCTGCTGTAGCTAAAAACTGCGTGTGGTAACTAGATTTCAGTCGTAATATATGGACAGCGAACATCTTAGCTGTGACACCTATTTATTAGGTGTAACAGCAAACATCTTAGCTGTGATACCTATTTATTAAGTGCAACAGCAAACCGTTTTGCTGCAGTTTAGAAATTTATTTTGTAAACCATGATTAGCTATGGTGTATTGAACTTTATTTCTTCCACATCGCGTGTGGAATAATAGCTAACCCGTAACTCGCTTTTTACCTGACTGTGTCGAATATAATCTTTTGTTTTTTGCTTAAAAGATTCTCTCTCTATTACTGACATGTAAATATCGTTAGAAAGGGTCATATATACCGATATTGTTGCGGTTTCATTACATCGTTATAACGAGCGACGAGCAGTTTTGAAAGCGTATAATAAAGTGTGATTTACCATTGGACGTAACGGAAGCGCCGTCGTGGTGGCTGGCGTCGCTGTCCTCGTCTAGATTACTGGTGCTCAAGGACGTTCTGGACTGATGCCTGACACTAAGGTCCCGCGGCGTCGAGGGTGGACTTCCGGGTGGCTCCTGGCCGGACTGGTGCATCTTGCTAGACGCGCCGCCCAGGATATCGGTGATCATAAACCTCGATCTCTGCGGCATCGTCGTTGAAGCGTCGCCCCTTTCCAGCCCATTGTTGTTATTGTTGTTGTTGTTTAGATTGTTATTGCGCGAGTCCAACCCGTTGGAAAGACGTTCGATGGCGACGCCGTTTCGATCGACCATGTTTTCCAGCCGATGCGCCTCCAGGCCGGACATCCTGCTGAGATTCAGGCCGTTATTGGCCACGGCAACGCCACTGAGAGCGGCCACGTGGTGGTTCTGCTGGTGATGGACCGTCATCACGGTAGACGCAGGTGGTTCCTTCGGGCTACGGGCACCTGCAGGTGCCTCTGTCGCCACCCCAGGACTTGCCCGGTACCTGGGAGACAGAATCTTGCCGACGGTGACGACGTAGTCTACGCCAAGAAGATCGTGCCCTCACTAATTCAATTTCACTTCACTGTAATTCCGGATAGACTCAATCTCTGAATCACTTCTCCTCTTCTATGTGTGCGACGAGCACGTAATTACCTGACATTCTTGACGCTTATCTCGAATCCGCTGCGGTGCGTTGATTTTTTGTTGAAAAGGTCAAGAAACCTTGTTTGTTCGCATCGAGGACATGAATTACCCTTATCGTTTTAATAAACCTATCAGAGATTCATTCGATTTACAAAGGCATCGGGGCCTTCAAATCGCGCAAATATTCAAAAACAGTTTAGTGAATCTGCTGGCAAAAATCATCCGGGGAAAATCTGACATAAATGGCGCGTGAAACTGATACTCGCGTCGGGATGCGTGTGCACCTTGCACTTCCTCCCGTTCACTTGGTCGCTCCACCTTTGCTACAACCTTCTTCCCAAGCAATTAAGGGGCCGCTCGACTCAGCTCCCCGGTTAATTGCTAATTGGCCACTTAACATAATTGCCGCGCGTAAGAGCGAAGCCGCCGACCATTTCCGTTTTCCTTTTTCTCCTTTTCCTTTTGCACGTTTAATTATTAATTATTTTCATATAAGTCCCCCTCTCACTTTTGCACAATTATACGATGGTAAAATGACAAATTGTTTGTTCAAATGGGTTTGAGACTTTGACCTTTTATTGTTCGCTGACTGATTATTCAAGCATGAAACAGACGTGACAAAAGTTCTAAGAAATAATTTCTAGACATTGGCCTCCGCCTTTATCCTGCCACAATTGTGCATGCTGCATAAACGACCACAAGTAATCACATTTATCAGAGCTCTATCAGTTCAGTAACCGTTTACTGGATTGATTTGTTTCGACTCGTGTTTATTTCGAGAGTTTAAGCGGACTTGTCGCGGTTGCCCGTTACACGTGGCACAATTGATCACTTTAACGACGAGACTTTTATCAGCGCTTTATTGATTTTGAACTGTCAATACACGTTACAGCCTATTGGCACTGTTTTCTTTCAAGTCGCACTATCACTTGATTGTTGCATTAGATCATTGCGATTATTCGAGTCGAATTTTGATAAATACTTTTATTAGCCTGCTCTGAAGTCTGAGCATTCGTTACGACGAACTATACAAGATTCTTCAAGAGACAATCCGATTGATTGATCAACAGCGTCTTCTGGATTCGCAAACGCACAATCCCGATGCAGTGATCAATCTGTTGCGCGAAAGACACTCTGCTGAAAGAAGAATTGCCCCGATCGGTCTGTTTCCAAAACTGTAGGAAACGTAGTCGTGACGCGAGGTATGCGTGCGTCGCGTGCGTCGCGTGCGTGCGTGTGCACCGAGTTGCCACGACTGGTCTGTCCGTACTGAGGACGGCGGGCACTTCTGCTCGTTCCTGGGCGGCCATATCGAGACTCTGGCACGCCCCACGATCACCCCACCGTTGCTCAATGCCGGCCAATCCCGCGTGTCGCCGTTAAGCATCCCGCCAATCCCAACTAAAGCAACCACGGCGCCTCCGCTACGTGGCGCGGCTACGCCCAAGTAATTTGAAATGTGTTTCAGCGGTAATTCGATATAAAATTGTAGTTAATATCTTTCATTATAGTCCGGGTGGATGAAGGGGAGCAGGGGGTGTCCAGGTTCCTCGCGCAAAAGACGACGATGGTGGGAGGTGTCGGGGCAGCGGCGGGAGATTGGATAGAGCAGGAGAAAGGATAGAGCAGGAGTGAAGGGTGGAGCGGGCGATGATACTGGGCCTCCCATTTCCAGCTTACTCTCCTCCGAGAGCTCTCTTCGAGATGGAACGGCGATGGATCGTCGCGGAACAAGAGGGGGACAGAAGGTCCAGCGAGACCACGTGGAAGGGGTGAAGTGCCATCGAAACGGAGAAGGGTGGTTCCAGTTCCGACGAAGTTACTCCGCGAATTTACGAATTCACGAGACAGAGCGACGAGCGGAGCTCGGAAGTCCGGGCAAGCAAGCGAGCGAGCGAGCGAGTTTTTTGCTACGTGAACTTTTTCTTCCCTCCCCTGTCGTCGAGGCTCAAGAAGAGGCTCGTTAAGCATATCAAAGAAGCGCGTTGATTAACTTGGCTGTGTTACCAATGTCGTCGCAGAGTGACGTTGAGCGTTAAATTGTGCCATGATAAGGTCGATCAGAATAATCGTGACGCTGGAATATTTTTGAATAGTGGAACTTGATAGTAACAGTTACAAAAAATCTGATAAGAAATGATAACTATTTCTGTAATAAATATCGTAAAATCTTTAAGAATGATGACATTTTATACGTTACAATCACTGCAATTAACAGCATGATTTGTAATCGTGGTTTGAATAAATTTGCATGACACCTGCATACATACGATAAATGTTTTAAATCTTAAAAAAAAAATCAGTGTAAAAAAACGATATTGCTGTAATTTTTGGAAAGAAAGTCTACCTTAAAGATATCTACTTTAAAGTATTTGCAGTCTTAGTGAGTGAACAAATAAAGAAATTTCTGTTAAGCGAATAACATTGCGTTTTTATACAATAAATAATTATTCACAAACACAAAATTGTCTTTTTCAATTAATTCATCTCAATTAAAACCTAGTAAACTGAAAATAAAGCAATATTTATTTTATTCAAAACGATCCGAATTATATTTTTCAACGCCCTAAATATTAAGAAAAAACTATACTGGCGGAAATATATATTTGAAATCGCAATACAAAAAATTTTTCAGAATCATTAAGTCTAAACAAAATTGTCTATAACTATTGTCTATAAATTGTCTAAAAATGCAATTTGTGATGTTACATGAGTACATTGAAACGAGCAATCATTCTGACATTAGCAGAATCGAGTTGAAATAGAGAATTAGATATGGCGGAGTTGGTACGCACATACACATACAAAAATGATAGAATAGAAGTACAGAAATTAGGGATAATGATATCATTTAATTACAGAAGACTGTGCTTACATACGGCTCCCATATGGTGTATTATAAATACGCATGTGTACGTGAGAAAATAACTATTCTTAAATATTTAAATACTACTAAACATTTTGCAATGCAAGTTTTACAGTTAAGTAGCAGAATGTAACTCAACTTTTATAGTATAAATATATATATGTGCGTGTAGTGTATAATAACTATATAATATAATAAAATATATGATAACGTACGCGCGAAGGTTTGCAAACTTTATAACGCACAATCTCTCTCTCTCTAACAAGAATTAATTTTCTTATACATTACAAATAAAAAATTATTTTCGCAGAATCGGTTTGTGGAATAGTTCATTTTTGTGGAAGAAATTAACCGCCTATAATGCAATCGTCAAAGCGTGACTCTACACAATAGTCGGTGACTCGGTAGGAAAGTGTGCAGATAAATTTTCTTACCCTTTTTGTTTTATACACATCTTTGCAGGCATCACTCCTTTGCGGATATGCCGAACAAGCGTGTTCGTATTGCATGGGTGAGCCTGAAAGATGATGCATTCGTACACACATCTCATTAATTAAACATGAGAATTAGTGACGAGTGTCGCAGTCGCGAGGCAACGAAATGAAAAGTTAGCATCGTTAAAGAACGCACTTGTCGCTCTCTCTCTCTCTCTCTCTCTTGGTGTGTAATTAGTTTACTGAAATCTTCATAGAAAGTTGAACGTGTAAAAAAAATACTCGACGCTAATTATCAGGAATCGTTATTTATTGCTATATATTCTTATCTTATAACGCCTAAATATTTTCGATGTAAGCTTATGAACACGTAGCGTAAGATAAGGCCGATTCATGATGATCTTAATTAAAGGAATCACAACGTAAATAATAACATGCTAGATATACGTGATTTTGAATTATACACATGTCGAAATATAGTTGATTTATTACGTTTATTCTTGCGAAGGAGACTTGTCACAAAACCTTTTTTAAAATGGATCTTAAAAAATAGATAAATTTTATGAGGCATTATAAAAAGTTTATTGTAAGAACGCAATCGTAATCTTTTATTTATTTAATATCATATATTATATTAAATTCTTTTCGTTAATATGTGCGTATATGTACGTATATGTACAATATATTTTAATTATATAATATCATATTATATATTTATAATTTATCAATTATTTGATCAATTATGTGTAATTATATATTTTAATTCATGTGCGCATACAAATATAATGTATAAAAAAAAAACACACACACGGCGAAAAATGATTGAATATAGTTAACGTAATGTACATAGAATGTTGTATACAATCTTTTGAAAAATTCAGAGAAACTAATATCGTTAAAGTATATTACTCTCGTCTATTAGTAGGTGTTGGAAATCTCGAGAAAAATTTTCTTCAGGCTCTTTGAACTTTTCAAAGAGCGGAACGCTGTCTGAAGAGATTAATATGGATGTATCGCGCTAATCCCTGGACAAGTAACATCCATGTGTACGTCATTAAATTTACATGAGGATGCGACTTGAGTCTCGCGACCCGGTCAGAAAGACGAAGTGAAAAGTTAAGAGCGTTAAAACTGCTCCCATCAACGTGTCAATTAAGTCTCATAAATCCCAGACGCTCCGGTTGGACGACATTTTTCAGTCACTTTGAAACAATGTATAAACTTAAGCTCAACGTATTCAGGGAACATTTTTCCACAATCTGCACATACATCATCTTATCTCTACTGTTCTTTTTATCAAAGTTTTATGAATTTTTCACAAAGTACACATCTTGCTTTTCTCTTTTTTTAATAAAAGATAATAATATATTATTTAGAACTTGCTTAATTATTTCATTATTTATATATTCAGAAAATTTAAATTTATAATTAAATGTTTTTCAGATGCCAGCAAAATGACTTTGCTTATAAAAATAATAAATGTATTTGAAATTAAAATCAATTTTTTTCCCACGCGCGCGTTTGATCTCTTACAAAACATATTGAAAGAAAATGCTCTGTGTAAGCGTGTGTGTTTCATCAAAGGATAAAATGTTTTACGAAGTATCTTTTGTGTCAAGTAAACAATCGGAAGCTGACAGATGTTGCATAAAATGTACACAAGGCGAATAAATTTATTTATCGTTGATCTTTAACCGAACGGTTAAACGCACTCGATCGTAAATTCGCT